GTATGCAAATTTAATGACTTAGAAATAATTGGAAGGGAAATTTGTGCACCTCTAGTAATGGAGCAGTTGCTTCATGTGAAGGTGCCCTCTAGTTGAAGGGTTGCCAAATCCAACAACTCTCTTTTAAAGATAAATAACCACAGGAAGGGAGAGTAGACAGGGGCCTTGAAGCAACATTTTGACAATGAGGTCATGAGTTAGCAGCACACAGATCACACCCCGCCCTAACCACAGTGAGCTGTACTGCATATTTGTTTAAATTATTGCAATTTTCTAAATTTGTATATATACATATACGTCAACAGACACATTTTATGCAAATCTATGCCATCATTTGTCCGTTTGGTGATGTGCAAGTGACCACCCTAGCCTGAGTTCTTCTGGAGTTTGGAACAGGAAGAAGACTGTGCATTTGAAACTAATTCCAGCAAAGTAAATATTAGATATTTTGTGCACAACACAACAAATCAGCAAGGTTTAATTTATCCATGGGGGCTGTCACATCATGCCAGGTACCTGTGACTGTCATTTTTGCATAATGTCAGTGGGTGCACAGCTTGTCAAAACTTGTTATGTTGAGTTAACCTAAACAGCAGAGTTAACCTGAACAGCCTAACAGTGTTTGCTCAATACAGCACAAGCCACAACAAGCCAGGTAGTTGTGCGGCAGCTGCCATGGACAAATGGCACTTGGGGGTGGGTGACTACCATGACGCAGCAGCCCCCAAAAGGTAGATTAAGCCATGATGGATAGTGACTCCTTTGCACATATTGTTAGCTGCCTGGCTTTTGTTATGTGCATTTTCGTTTTTATTGCATACGTCACATTTACACTTGCCGGTTCGTTTTGGGGTCTTGTTGCATAAAACAAGGTCTTGCCTGTTAAATTACTAAGTCCAATAGGACAATTCCTGCTGGGTGAAATGGATACCTTGGTATTGTGTCCCTGTCCATGCATGTGTTTTATAACAATAGACTGCATCCAACTCCATACAAGAAACATATGTGAACTTTGGATCTGAGATAGTGCTTTGGCCCAAGGCAGCCAGTGTGGCTCAGTTTGCACAAAAGATGAAAGAGGGTTATTTCCTGGCACACAGCAGTGTGTCCAAACAATTTCTTATCACTGTTCAAGTCTGGACAGGAAAATCAGCAGAATAAATCACATCTGGCTGCAGAAAATGAGTCAGCTCAGAATATAACCAAGTGTGAGAAACAAGGAGATGGGAAGGGAAATGCAGAGGCACAAGGAGTTCTGATTCATGTCCCAATGTGATTTTTGATGTCTGCCTTGTTTTTCTTGTGCTTACATGGATCTGATTAGTTATATGGACCTGCCAACTGTTAAAAAGATAAAAATAACACTGACAGTCTTTCTCGATTCCTTCCTATTTTCCTTCCTTCCTTTCCAGACTGTAGGAGGATCAGCTGGATTAGTCTGGAGGAGGGTGATGAAGGAGCCATTGAGCTGAAGCTGAGTAAAAGAACCTATTTACATAATTTTCCCTGGATGGTGAGCCCCTCTTGTGCGAAAAGTCTGTTTTCAACGTGTGCTTCTGACAGCTTTTTACTCTTTAACCAGAATATGGGAATCACAGGTAGTGGCTCTCCCACAGACTCTGTTGGCTGCCTGGCTTTTGTGATGTGCAATTTTTGCTTCATTGCATACATCACAATTGCCCTAGATTGTTTGTTGTGGCCTTCCCTGATCTTGTGCCTGTGGGATGCGTTAGACTGTAACTCTCATCATCCATAGTCAGCATTGCTCATCTGGCTGGAGATGATGGGATTTCATAGTCCAAAAGACCTAAGGAGTGCCAGGTTGGGAAAAGCAGGATTAAGCCATTTTGGAATAATGGGAACATCTCTTGGGTTACTTGGGCAGCTGGCTTTATGTCATTTTCTTGCACTACATATTTGCAAGAATTTGGGTGATCACAAATTCACATACTTCAATCATGTAAATTCGTACATAATTCTCAGTTTTCTATGAGATGTGTATGCCCATGCATTGTTACAACACCATCTGGCACAGACACTGTCCAGTATGATTTGCAGCACAGTAACCTTATATCTAAATGAATGCCCAGATATCGCCAATGGCGATGGTATGCAATTAGGTATGCTGCAGGTTGCTATGCCTGCTACAAGACCATCATTTGTTAAGTTTTGCTTAATAATGGAGAGGAATAATCAGTGCTTGCTAATGGGAGCTAATAACTGCAACAGTTTTACTCAACTGGCAATTTACCTGTAGGGTAAGAATGAGGATCGGTTTGATGTGATGAGGGCAACCACTCGAAGGAGGAAATGCCAGGGGAGGGGTAGCAGTGGTGAGCGCCCTCTCGGATGTTTGTCCTGCACATGACTGGGTGATCACCTCTATTGGGGGCGGAACCATGCATGGCACACGGCTGGCCTTCTACCCCTAACTCAGCCAGCTGCCCTCCAGTATAGGAGGGAAGGCTCTCCTATCGTTCCTGTTGAAGTAAGTTTCGACGGCCATCCCGGTCAGCTTCTGCATGTAGAAGGTGCTGTAGCTCAGGCAGCAAAATGCCTTAGGGCAGCCCTACTCCTCCCAATATGTTTGCCTTCTAGGCTTACAAATAAACAGATATGATAGGGATGCCACAGGTCTCCAGAGTTTTGCCAGCCAAAGGAAACCAAACCTGGGGATCAGAGAAGTGGAGAACACTTAAAACTACGAGTAAAACCTGCACTGCCTACAGTAACAGGCCCAGCTTTTTGGGCAATGGGCCCTGGCAACAAGATGGGCCTCAAGCTTAATGTGTATGCTTGTATGCTGTTTGCTCTACTACTGGCTCAATGGGTGAAACAAATAGTATTAACAATTCATGTGGTGTGCAAAGAGTGCAAAGGTTCCCAGAGTTCAATAGATTGTCTTATATGACAGAGATTAATCCTGCAAAGAAACTGTGTCAGTGTTTGTTTGTTTGTTTCTTTGTTTGCTTGCTTATTTAATTTCTAAACTGCCCAATAGCTGAAGCTCTCTGGTTCACAAAGCAATAGTCAAAGCCATGTTGTGAAATAGGCTACAAATGCTCTTACGTCAAAACCTGAAGAAATGGAGAGGCATGCCAAGAATGCTTTCACCTTGGTGGTGGACCCTACATAGTATAAATAGGGTTCCAGGAACTAACCGAAAGCTCTATCTATGCACTCACTCACTACTCCCTTTAAATGAAAAGAAGATACAGTATGTGCAACCATGATACTTCCTGCTCAGTGCTACTTCTTATCATAGTGTCCACTCTCCTCCTGCATCTCCTATAGCAGGGGGAATGCGAGATTCACCCTCCAAGAAGCAGGAGAGGTGTCAGCAGGAGATGTACCAATGGAAAAAAAGCTTCGGGGACTTACATCATAGGTGCTCCTATGATGGTGGTAGGGAAGTGGAGCAGTGTAGTGTAGCCAGGGCCCACATGGTCAAAGAACCAGGTAAGTGGGTTATCAAACACCTTAGAAGATTAGGTCACCTGCCATCCACCTCAGGCTTCCTGCTTCCTTGGAGTTTAGCTGCATCCTTACAATAGCGGGAGGTGGGGTGAAGTGTTCCAGCAATGCTATATTGTTGTAGCATATTACAGGCACATGTATATGACACTTCCTGCATTTTGAATGCTTCTTGGGGATGTGGCTTTGGTGGCTGTTGCAATGAGTGCTTATGCTTCCAAATGTTATGACATCGCAATGCTCATCATGGAACTAAACATTGTCTCTAGGCCCTAAACTTGTGTTTCGCAAGACAACAGGAATGTGCAAGCTGGAAGCACTTGCAGCCGAGGCTTGGGAAAGGTTCAGAGACAGAGCGACTCTGGTTTGCAAAGTGCTGTTAGTCATTCATCTTGCTCTGGCTCCTATGCCAGGTATCATGGTGGTGGAGCAGTGCCCTGGGCTGTACAGGCCACTGAGCTGGTTTCCAACCATGATTACTCTGAGCATTCGAACAGGTGCCAGCCTTTGACCAAGATATGATGAGTGTCTGTGCCCAGTCGTGCCCACTGAGGAATGCAGGGCACTGCTGTCTGCGATGCCTCATATGAAAGGAGACTTGATAGACTTAAATCTTTGAGAGGTTCAAACAATTCATTATTTGTTATATTGAACCAACAGACCCAAGCCAAATGCCATACCCTGTTGATTTGATACATACATTTTGCTAGATGAAAACTATCCCTAGCTGAACCTGCACGTGATTGAGCCAGGTGTCCTGTACCTCAAGCATGGAGAGCAATCTCTTTCCAGAAGCGAGAAAGCTTTTTTTTTCTTTTTCTTTTTTTTTTAAGAAATGATATTTTGCTTGCAAGCACAATCATTGCTGGGAAGCAAATCTGTTGCACTTGTTTATGCAGTAGGATTGTTCCTTTTGTTGTTACACGTGTAATAGATTTCTTTAAACATTCACTATGTACGTAATGGATTTCTTTAAACATTCATTTATCTGCAACTAATTTAGAAGCCAGTTCTCTTTGATGCCAAGCTTCCACTCATTTCAAGCATGTTGTTCTGTGTTCTCTGAATCTGTCCTCAAGATCTGCACTTCTCGGTGAGAGGTGGGCAGGAAGCAAAAGTCCAGTTGCTTTCACTCCTCCTTTGCCTTGCATGTGCTCTTGCCTCTGCGTCCTGTTGGGGCAGGGGCAGGGCTGCTGGAGGAGGGAATGGGGATGCAGGAGGAGATCACTTCAGGCAACAAAGAGCCTCCATTCAAGCCTCTTCCTGCTCTCAAGGTCTCCATTCAGGGTGCTTACTGGTTAATGGCTTAGGCACAGACACACTACTCCCAAGATGTGGCTTTGACCCTATTAGCCACTGCCGTCCGTTCTTACTCCCCCTCTCTCTCCTAGTTCAATTTCCTGAGGTTTCTGATTTCCTGAGTGAGGGAAGGCGATGTTTAGGAAAGAGGTGACAGACTGGAGGAGGAGAAGGATGCATGAAAGGGAGGGGTCAGTAATCGTAAATAAAAGGCCCCTCTTTGCCAGTTTAGACTTCAGGGACGCTGGGAGAAGAGAGCCTGCAACTTCAGAAAGGTCCTGTGCACAGCCCATACGGTGAGTATGTGGGGGTCCTACGAATGTCTGTGCAATAGTGCATTGCAGATGGAAAAGGAGAGCGAGAGATGTGCTGATGGGCCGTTCTTATGAAATCCATACGGCAAAATTCACAGGGCTGCCTTTTCAAACCCCCAAAGATGATATTCTTTACTGAGTGTGTATAAGCAGTCAGTATGAGGTTCTGGGTTGTGGGTATAATGGAAGGGGAAATGGTTAATACAGGGGAAGAACAAAGGATACAAGGGCATTATATGGGTAAGTGAACTCAGGGTCTGGTTTTCAGATTGTAAAATAAGGCAGCCTGACTGTTTTTATTTGTATTTTTTGGCCATTCTAAACGTTTAGCCTCAATGATAAGCTTTTTACAACTTGCTTATAATTAAACCAACTGAACACTGGCAAATATTGCAATACGCTTTTTCCCCTATGGCAAAGGGTGCAGCTTAGGCCATTCAAAAATACTGGTGAATGTTCCAATTCTCTGAATGATGCCCCCACCCCACCAGTTCCCCCAGCAATAATAACATGACAAGCTGCTTGTACTCAGGCAAATAATTTTGGTGGAAAGGAACTGGCATTCCCTTTCATTAATTCTGGGTCAAAACTGAGCATAGCAGCACTTTTGGCAAATAATTCTGTAAATCTATCAATTGTAAACAAGTAACACAATTCTTCCAGAAGTTGCCCTGAGAACATCTGGAAATGTCAGCATTTCTTTATGTTGCCTGTGACTGTTGAGTGAAATCTTGATGCAAACCTGGATGGAGCAAAACCAGGCCTTTCACTGAAATGGCTATTAACAAACTCCCGACTAACCTCTCACTTTGTTTACCCTTGGAAAATGTAGGCATTTTGTGGGTACAATGTTTAGAATAGCAGCACAGTGTTTAAAAGGCCATCCACACTTCCATAATTTTGGCAGTTCCCCTCACGACAGATGTAACAAATCAAGGGACTGAGGACAAAGAAGTTGGCCAGAGCAGGCATGGACCACTGGCCCTTCTCCCAGCGTGCTCAGAGAGAAAGCCAAAGATAGAGCAGCTGTTTCAAAAGCAAGCAGGGCTCTGCTTTTTTGACAAAGCATCATAGCTGCGTCCCTGCAGCCTTCTACCCTCCTTCCCCAGGCCTTTTTCTCCACTCCTGTTTTCTTCCATTCTTTCACCACTGTCGTCTTCTCTTGGCAGTATTGAGGCCCACAGATGCCAGAGTGACTGTGATATACAGTAAGTCCAAAAAACCCACACTGGGATTTTCATAGAAACTGAATGCTGAGGATCATAAACAAGTCCTTTCCAAGGCAAGTGAATATCTTAAAGGAGATCAGTTTAAAAACATCTAGGAGGAGCTGGGGAACAAGGAGTGGAAGGGAAGCTGGTGCAAGCCTGGAAGAATTCATGTCAGGGGTTACATACAAGGAGAGAGATAATTTCTGGCTCAGCCTCCTGGTAAACAGAAATCTTAGACAGAAGCAGAGTTAAAACTCAGATGAGGCTGATGACTGAGAGGGAATGGACTTGTGCCGAGAAAAAGAAACTTCTTATTCATATGGGGATACTGCTTATGCACTGTCTTTTCCTTTCTGCTTTCTTAGTTTCTCTCCACATGCTCAGAGAACTTGGAAATGGATTATGAGTTTGGAGCAAATTATTTCCTGGCATACAAATTCCAACGTGAGTTGGACATTCCTCTCTAGAAAAACATTTTGCAAAAGAGTACAGTGTTCCGCTTAATCCTGGTGCATTTCACCTTCCCTTTTTTCCAGTCATGCAGCTGCTTCCATGAGCTGCTCCATGCATCAGGAGCATAGAAAAATTACATTAAAAATCTTGCTAACCTTCCCCCAGGCCCCGACCTCATGACTTGGAAAGAACTGAGTCAATCCATGTACCATTTGTCTGGCTGGCTGCAGAGGCTTATGGGCTAGCAAAGGTTTTCAGGCTGTCTAGTTCTCGACAGGTTTGGTGCTCACAACTGCTCCATGTAAACAGTCGGCTTATTCTGCAAGTGGCTTTTCAAGTGGTCTGAGTGAAACCACAGCTCGCATTACTTCAGTGCATTTTAATAGTTGTTAGGCAACATAGACAAATGTGTGCATGTTCCTTCTATCCTCCACTTCTAGGAATTTGGGATCTTGATCCTAGTGCGGTTTATTCAGCATTCCTAATAGTTTTTCCTCTTATGCCACTTCTCAGCTCATGTCTGGTATTAGGGGAATGTTTATAGAGAGAAATGCCAGTTGTCTTCCATGCCCATCATTTCCGCTCCTAGATGAGTCTTGGTCAGATAAATTTAAGCTGTAGTCCTCTATATAGATAAGAGAGGATCCAGGTGAACTTGGTCATGCTTTGGGCCCCTTGAAACTAATGGGATGAAAACATGCCCATCCTGGTCTGGATCCAGTGCACTGGAGTGGGAGCAAGTTTCATTGAATTGAATAGACACTCTAACTAGACATGCATCACACTGTACGGTTAATGTAACAAAACATTAAGAATGGATTTATGAATCTATTCTTGATGTGATGAGGATGTAGCTCTTGTGACTATGGTAACCACAAGACTGCACTTGTACACTTGCAAAATGCCATCATCGTCATCATCATCATCTTAACATAACTATAAAACACCTCTGCACAATTTTTTGAGGGGGCAAGGAAAGAACACCCCCCATTATGCATCTGTGATTGAATAGGGGTAGCAATCAGAATGGTGAGGTGGGAGAGAAGATGAGTTGTACCATGGGGAACATTGGGGTACTGGCTGGACGACTGAACTGGAAAGAGTGGGAAAACAAGTCATGGTGAGCCCAATTGTCTGTCAGGCACAGTGTGGGTTGTTCTGCACAGTTTATTTTCAGGGTGGCTTAGTATGATGTGTGAACCTGTCCATTTACTCTTAATATCTCATGATTGCCTTTAAGTTCCTGTCTAAATAACAGATTCTATATTCTTCCACATTTTGCAACTGGAATAAATGAAGTGGAACTGAGTGAGCACAATTTATTCTGATTATAAGATTTGCATTGTCAGTTTACAGGCCTGAACTTTGTTAGTTCAGAGGTTTTGAGCCATTATATACAGTCGAAGGGGCAAATATCAGCCGTATTGGCATATCCTTTTTAGCCTGCAGCTACAAGCTAGTAGCTGTGTTATGTCTGGTGCAGCAAAAACAGCAGCAAGTCTTCTGGACTTGGGAAACTAACACAGTTCTCTGGGCATAAGCTCTTACGGATCCTTCAGATATGTTGTCACTTGTCAGATACACAGGCACACACCGTATAAGAAGAAAGTGTGTGCGCGTGTGTGTACTGTGCATGTGTGCATTGTCTTACAATGTAAGGCCAAAAATCAAAGCAATGGCAATGACAGGCCGGTTTGTCACATGTGTATGGTTCCTTTTTATAGGAAAATGTACTCACAGCTGAAAGAACTGAACTCTCCCCCTACCCAGCATTACCTACCTGTGTTTCTTCACTTTGAGCCCTCCTGCCCTTGTCCACTTTGTCTCCAATACCGGAAGCAGGCGGAGAGAAAAATGCCTGCAGCAATGGAGGAAAACTGGGGGTACATTCTACTGCTTTGCCTTTCATGCAGCTTTTAATTACAGAATTTAGACCCCCCCCACACACACACACACGCTATTTTAGTCATGAATGGGGGAATCATACACAGAATCCTCCTGCCTATTTTTACCCTCACTAAGGAGGTACACCTGTGTCTGGACTGTACCACCTAAGTTCAGACTGAAGGTGGCTGCCTCCAACATTGACTGTTCCTCCTTATAAAAGAATCTCTGCATGCAGAGAACTAGCGCACTGAGGAGAAGGCTAGACTAGATCCCTTCTCCCAAGCATCTGCTTTTCCAAGTGGATGCATGGATAGTTTTTGGAAAAGCTTTCAATCCTCTGTCATCCTTCCCACCTCCAGTCTGCACTGGTGTAAGTCAGATGTTTATCACCTCTGGGAGCAGATGACAGTTCAGGGTGGGATTCCTAGGATACATAGAATTCAAATGATTGGTTATAATGGAATCCAAATCTGTAGTACTAGGTGAACAGACAGGTGAGGTTTAAAGGGGTATGAAGAAAAGTGAATGCCGAAACAAATTTTGAAACAAAATCTTCACAGGGTAAGGGGGTATGTCTAGGAAGTCTATCTGGAGGAAGTGATGAAAGACCATCATACCAGATCTGCGTATGATTGTAGATAGGTAGGTTTCTTGTGGTCCTCCAGAAATTCTTGGACTCCAGTTCCCATCAAGATTTTTCACTGGTTGCACTGTCTTAGGCTGATGGAGTTGCAGCACGTTAATACCTAGAGGACCACAAGTCATGCCCCTCTGGTAGACTGAGTGAGGCAAGGGCAGGAAAATCAGCAAATAAATTAGAAAACAAAGTGCTTCTATTTAGGAGAAGGCTGTTCTGTCTGCCTGTGGGTGTTGGCTAATATCTGGAATTCCACCCCTGTACTCCAACATTTCTGAACCTGTAGAGTTAACAGCTCACCCTGTTTTGAACTGTGGAGTCCTCCCTCTGCAGAAGGGGAGGGCAAGAAAACATGCCCACTCCCCCAAGGGCTGGTTAAACTCCCTAATAGAAGGTGTTTGTAACCATCTCCTAGAGGGCAAGTACCAGGCAGTCCCTACCTTTGTCAGCCCCCCTTCTTCTCACTCTTTCGCCTCCCAGATTCTGCTTTCATAATAAACACTCCACTGCTAAACTTTGCAGCTTGCCTAGAGACTTCTGCTGGTGTCAGTGGAAACCGAGAATAAGACTGACACTGAATAAGAGAGACGATGCGGACCCTCATCATTCTTGCTCTCCTGGCTGTGCTGATGATGGCGGCCTTTTGCTATGGTAGGTGATGTCTTGTAGTGATAGTAATGTGGGATGATCATCTGTCATTGAACACATTCTGTCTGATTTTCAGCTTCTCTCTTGACACTTCTTTATCATGTATTTCATCCTTTTGCCAGTATTCCAGTTTTCTCTGCTTCCTGCCCTGTGCTCAGTTTGAGCTCTCCAGCAAAGCCCGTTTGGCTTTTGTTGTATGTCTTGACACAAACCATTCTGTTCTTAAATGTTTAACCTCCCATTCTTTATCTTAAATAAAAACACAGGGGCTGGAGAAAGGTCAGTCAAGTTTTCTATCTTGGAAGAGAACAATTTACCACTGTTAGCTTGGAAAATTTTCAGGCACACATTTTCAAGATGTATTCAATGCATACTGCTTTCTTAATGAGAGTGTCCATGGGATTTCCATTGTGATGAAAGACTACTAGGTTCTAAGTTGGACAGAGCTGATGAATTTTAATCTGGTGATATTCCATGAATGGTCCACTGGGGTACAGAAGAATACACCTGCTTGTTCTCAAAGAGTCAGGGATGGCTGGCCAATGGCTTGAGGGGGAGGGAGGTTCCTCTCTGGAGGTTGGGAAGCAATTTCTCTGGCATCTGATTAGATAGCATTTCCATCAGGTGCCTTTAACTGCAGTGTCCGAGGCAAGATTTGCACCCTTTAATTATATGGATTGCTCTTCCTAAATGTATTCTTAGGCAAGCTATGAATAATGGTTTGGATGTGGCTAGGGTTAGTTCTTCTGTCTCCAATGTCATAAAGATCATAGTATTCTTTCTCTGTTTCCCCATTAAACTGACTCTTCAATTTTATCTATCTTTATGGCATTATGACAGCCGCCAGCATATGTGGCTTTTAGAAGGGGTAGTTGCATTTGTGGAGGTGCAATGTCTTCCATTGTCCAATACCCAGAAAACCTTAGAATGGCTTGCCCATGTGCAGGGGCAGAATGCTTCTGATACTGGGAACAAACAGCAGTGAACTGCTATCCTCATCTTGCCCTAGTAGTCAACTGACCAGGGCCATCTAATTAATTCCTTTTGGAGACAGAGTTCTGGACTAGACAGACATTTGGCCTCACCCAGGCTTTTCTTGTATTTTTCATTCTTCTTCCTTTCTGTTTGGATAACAAATATGAGTTACTTTTGTCTGTTTTCTCCCACAGAGTCCCATGAAAGTATTGAATCACATGAATTTGCAAGTAAGATACAAATATGATCTGTTCTCTGACTTACTGAGATACTTGAGATTCACCTTTTAGCTTCTGTTGGGAACTCAAATTGTGTTGCTAAGCCACTTTAAAAAGAACAGTTTCAGTATGAACATACTGAATGTGAAACATTCACCCCCACCTGTAAAATAAAAAGTAAGAAGTGCTTCACCACAACCTGCTTCTCTTCCATCTGTCAAGGCAGGTTGTACACAGGTCCCTGGCTCTCTTTTGGCATGGCCTGTTCATTCTATGCTATACTGTCCAGGTTTGTGATGCCTTGCAGGAGCCAAACATTCGCCATGTACCACTGCTATTCGTTCTGCACTGCATAAGGACAGGCACTGGTACTTCAGCTTGGAGAAACTGCACTGAGAGAACTAGCTAAGAATTGAAAAAGTGAAGGCAACCATCAGAGGAAAGCATGGTAGGAAGAAAAAGTAAACTAAGCGACATAAGTTCTCTGTTCACCAGAGCGTCAGGTGAAATGAGGGATACTATTAACAGTGGAAGATGCTGCAGGTAGCCTTCACTTCTTTTTCACTGGCAAACCAAAACAGAGGCTTAAATGGCAATTTAGCTTGAATGCAACTGCCTCTGTTGAAGTTTGCCATCAAAATTCAGCCCTGAGCTGCTGGATTTTGGCTGCAGTGGTTGTGTTAATCTGGCCATTCATTTTATACAAATATGTCCTAAACAAAACATAACATAACAATATGGTGGCAATGCCACCTTAGACCTACCCAGCTAAGGGTCTTCACCTATCAGTTGAAGACCAATAGGAGAAGGCACAATCACAAATACAGCTGAACCCCGAAGTCATTTTAGAACAGGTACAAAAAATTTCAGTATGACAAGTGAGTAACTTGCTGTGGTACTAGAAAGCATTCTCGATGATGGATTTTATTTCTTAAGTGTTCTAAATACCAGAAATATTTCACTGAAGCTGGAAAATTGTGGAGAAAAACACAAACTAGTGTTTCACATACTGAACGCATGGATTTATTGAAAAAGCAAAACATAGCAGTCTAACCTGTGTGTATCTTGGCCAGCAGTGAACCAGTATGAGTATATTAAACACACACAGGTGTTGATAAATGTTTAGGACAGGAAAGATGTAATACAAGACAATCTTGACTGTGGAAAATATTAGAGAACTTATTTTTAATTCTACAGATGGCTAAAGTATAGGATGGTGACACCAAAAGAAATAATGTCATGTAGCATTAATTGAAACTACAGGGCAAAAGTCCCCTGTAGACGAGGTGTGGCACCCAGAAGCCATTTCTAATTTTTCAAGTATTTGAATTAGGGCAGACTGGGCACCCTCTAGATGTGCAGACCACCTTGTCCTCAACCAGCATGACCAAGCCGGATGGATGATGGATGGATGAGGAGGAGGGTTATAATCCATACATCTTGAGAACTCCAGGATGTGGAAGGCCTAACTAAAAGAACATAGAGTATATTCATACCAGTTTTCCCTGCTTTCAGCATCAATACGTTTTCCCCCCAGAGAATCTTGATCATAGCTTTCCCCAAGCATTGCACTGATCTGCTTTTCCCACTGTGATCCGATTTCTTAAGGTGTTCCATTGCAATAGCAGTGCAAAGCTTTCTGTTGTGAGCTGTTGTCTCACCTGGTGTGGAGGACTGATCAGAGTGGGTCATCCCACTTTTCAGGATTACCTACCGGTCTACTTTCCACCTTCACTATTGCCCCTCTCTTCTATTATCTTTGCTGCGGACTTCTTGCAGAAACCAACTAAATTTCATCCAGATGGCATCACATGAAGATGGCTTCGTACTTCGCTGTGGGACAATCTTGATGGCTCTGGCTCCAGCATCCCCTGATACCTGCTCCCTAGAAGTTTGCACACTGGCATAGAGGTTTTGTGGGAGGGAGCCTGTGTGTGAACAGCTGATCATATGTAGGTTTCATTCCCGCAGATGCCTGCACAGTTGTGGAGAGTCTGGGGTGGGAGGCACAGTGCTGGGCCTCATGCAGAAGGCAGGCATAGCAGTGTGTTCATAGTATAGAATCCCTTTGTGCAAGTAATGTCTGAAGGGCTCATGGCCAGGCTTCATCAGACTCCGTGGATGGTATGTGTCAGCGGAAGGCTTATCCAATGTACTTTCGTTCAATGTCCTTTAAAAAAAACCCACCTGTTCATCCCATTAAAATTCATACACAGGCCTATCTGGAGGAGAGACATTATAGGAACACAGAAATTCTATATTATATCATGTTAAATGTATGGTCCATCAGATTCAGGATTGTCTACACTGGGGTGCTGAGCCTCAAACCCACAGCTGGATTTTTGGAGTTGGTTTTTTTGCATAAACTTGCTCAGCCACACAGTAATTACAAACCTTGTTCCCCAACAGGTCCTTTCATTAGCAGAAGGCATGCCAACATCTTCATGAACACTGAGCCTGAGCACAGGAGGAATCCCTATATGCTGGAAAGGTACTTCCCCTTCATATTCAGGATTATGCACACTGAGTGCAGAGGGGCTGTCTCAGTGATGGGGGACTGTGGGGGTTGCTCTCCAGCACATCTGGAGGGTACCACTTGGATGAAGGGTGCTTGAGGCAATGGTTTCTCTCCCAGCCAATCCCCCATTGTGGCGAATGGGCATGATGGAAGTTGTAATCCAGCACTTCTCAAGGCCCTGGACTGGGGAAGATTGTGCTGGTACCCAAGGGTCAGAACTTTCTATAGTCACAGCTCAATATCCACTGTGAGCCAAGAAAAAATGTTGGGAACTACTTTAAATGGCTGATTGGCAGAGGTGCTGGTGAGATCAGTGGTCTCTATTAGAGTCTCCATGGAGTTGCTCCAGAACCCCCATTTATTTATTTAAAAGATTTCTATACTGTTCCTATTAGCCTGATGGCTCTCTGGACAGTTTACAAAATTAAATTATAACAATAACTCAACATATCAATGGCAAACAAAAGCAAATTACAACAACAAGAATACTCCATAAAAGATATTCAACAATAACAATTAAAGTAAAATATAAAAACAATAAGAATAGAAAAATAAAATGATTAAATAATTACATGAGCCACAGTGCTTTCATAAAATATAAAATAACAATAAAATTTCAACAATTAAAATATTGGAAGAATAAAAGGGTTTTAGATGTTTATATCTCACCATCGCATACAGCTTTTCCACTTTATGCCGCTACTTAGGCCTGTTCACATGTTCACTTTTAAGGGGTAGAGTCTACACACAATGGGGTTATCACCTTATGGTCATAGGCACTATCCATATGAGCCCACTGCAGCATTTGTTTTAACTGCCTGAAAAGGCTCTGCAAAGACTTTCTGTATCTTTGACAAGAATCAGGCCTATCAGCACCTCATACAGATAGAAAAGTGGATCCAGAAACAAGTCACAACTGTCTTCTCTCTCTCTTCTTCCCCACTCCGCTTCTCCTCCTGCTTGTGTGGGCAGGATCAGAGAGCGCAACAAGAGCCCCCAAGAACGTCAGCGGGAGAGGTGCGAAGATTACGAACTCTGTGAGCATTACGCCATGCGCCACGGCTACCCTGCTGCCTATTCACGCTTCTTTGGGTCGAGACGGGTCAAGTAATGCGGTCATGAATCACCATGCCCAGTGCCTGGAGCCAGGGCTCTGTATCTGCAAAGATGACACCTTTGCAATGCATTGTTGCTTGTAAACTGTATGTTATTCCATCTGCTGCTTCATTCTTCTGTAGACAATGATTCCTAGATTTGGTGTTAATTAGCACAAAGCTGATGTAGTGGTGGCTGGGCAGAGAAGGATGTGGGTGTTTATTACAAAATAAATGGCTGGTTTGATACTTTTTGTTCATTATGTAAGAGTTTTCTTTGGGTCACTCCTGTGTGTCTGCTAAGCAAAAATCTATCCCAATACTGGAAAAAAAATCTATCCAAATAGTTCAGATTTGATCTTGATCTAGTGATGCTTAGGGTAAGCCTATTGAAATCAACAGGGCAAGTTAGGTCTGCCTGACTTAAATCCTGTAAGTATAACTAGTCTCTTCCAACCTTATGAAATCTAGGGACTATACTCAGAGTTCTCACACGTGTTAGTAATCTGGTCCATGGGGTTGATTTGGCAATGTACTAAAGACTTGGGTATATTCTACAATGTGTTTAGTGTGCGCACAATGGGACAAGGCAGTACATAATGTATATTCTTGGCAGTACATTCTTGCTAATGCCAGAGTGTAGGACACAGAATAATCAATTCAAGTTGCAACAACCCAGATTCAGGCTGGACATCAGGAAAAGCGTCCTCACTGTCAAAGCAATACAACAGTGGAACCAGCTGTCTAGAGAGATGGTGGGCTCTCCCACACTGGAGACATTCAAAAAGAAACTGGACAGCCATCTGAGTGGGATGGTGTAACATGGTGTCCTGCAACAGCAGGGGGTTGGACTCGATGGCCTTCATGGCCCCTTCCAAGTCTACTATTCTATGATACACACTTTCCTCTGTATATATGTTATGAAAAGAATGCTGGGTGTATGCACACATCATCGTACACTGTCCTTCCACTTGCAAAAAGGAAGTATGTGTCTGGTGCTGAGTGCAGAGCCTCACTGTCAGTTCCAACATTGCAAATTTGCTGAATGTACTTTGGAAAATATAATTGCTCCCCATGGTGTTCATCCTGGCTGGTGTTTATCTTGCATTTCAAGTTAATCTTGGGCTAATTATATGAAGTATTAGAACTCTCAAATAGTTCTATCCATATTCCTCTATGGTTTGATTTATAATTATAACATTTTTATTTCAGTGTTTCCCCAAGGAGCTTAAGGCATGCTCCTGATACTTTATCCTCTCAAACATTCTGAGAGGCAGCTTGGGCCAACAGTTGCCTAGGCAGGGTCATCTGATAAGCTTAGTATCAGAGCAAGCATTTGAACTCAAATCTTCCTAAGCCTAGCCCAACCTGCTTGCCTCCACTTGGGCTCTCGATGCACTCGTGTTCTTAGATGAGGGAGGGATCTCCATTGTCCTGCCTTTCCTCAAGTAGTTATTTCCTCTTAAATAGATATCCCAGTCAGACTTAAAGGGGGAAGACCCACTACATCACATCTGGCACACAAGCTGAGTCAATGCAGGACTTCTCCAAATGCTAACTTGGATGATAAATACCAGCTTGTCTGTTCAGCAACAGGCTCACCACTGCTTTCATGGCATGCAGTGCACTGATGCTCTGATCCAGAATTCTGATCAAGCATGAGGCCAGGCCCAGGGAGCTGGAAAAGGGCTGGAAAATCCAGTGGCAGGGCTAATAGGTAGGCAAGAAGGCTAAGGAGTCATGGCATCCAGAAAACCACAAGGCAGGCTACCAGGGACCTCTGATAAGCTGAAACAGCAAGTAAAAAGAATGGTGCATTATGGAATTAATGATCTACCGAATCAGAGTGGTTTTCACTATGGCCATTATGCTTGGGGATGATTGGAGTGGCAGTCCTCATTTGGAAGGCCATGTGGGAAAGTTGGGTTATCAGCAGTTCAAGATGTTACAGACTTATTTTGGTTGCATAACTGTGTTTCTCCCTTCTAGTCTTGAGTAGTAATCTATGGCTGCTTCATCCAAACCTGAGGGTTCTGAACCTCTTTTAGCCCAAGGACCAAGATCCATCCTGGAGAAACTGTTAGTAGCTACATTCCAGTGGTGGGCAGGACTGAAGGCAAAAAGACCAAAATACAAAACATGCCTACATATCATTGTTTAACATTCTTGTTGCCAGTAACCAGGTATTAGGAGAAACACGCCACAAAACCACCACCAACTGCACAAAACTGCATCCAATGATCAATGGTCATGGAATGAGAGCGCAGGCAGGGGCAGTGTGTGGCCATCGAAGAAAACAAAGAGAGCCAGACAGGGTACCAGGCAGCCTAGATTTGCGCTCCAGACCTGATATTCTGCACTCAAGGTTGAGTATGTGTCACTACTGAGCAGTTCTGTTGTCTGAATGCAGCCAAGATTAAGCAACAACATAGTGAACAATCCACAGTTCACAGCCCAACATCAAACCATGGGTTCTCTTTAAGGGTTGTTTGTGGTTAACAAGCCATAGTTTGTTAGCACACCTGGACAGCACAATAACCCATTATTCAGCAACAATCACATTCAACCTATACTGAACCCTTGAGTGTGGATTATTGTGTTCACTGAACCCCCATCAATGAGGATAGCTGTAGCTACCTGACTCTGTTATCGAGAATTCAAGCCAGATAGTTATTGTCTCATCTTTTCTTTATTAAGAACAAGGATGGACAGGTATGGACAGTCCAAAATTAAACACGGTATTTCCCAATGAGCCCGACAAGACCAAGGTAGCATTGCCTTGAAGTGTTCCGTGACTCTAACAGTTACCTTGTGAAAGATTTTTGGCCATGTTTTCCCCTTCAGCACCTGACACGTGGACAATGTTTGCCTGCCAGTCCTGAGAGGGCAAGTGTCAGTGACCTGGACCACTCTCAAGTGCCATACCTACTGATGCTATGGGCTAGTGAAATCTCTTGGATTGTGCTTGTGGAACACAGTGCATGCACCTGTGGAGGAAAAAGCCATGCGTGTGTGGGGTAAGAACCCCAAGTGTGAGAGAATCAGCTGGCCATTTAGAGAGAAGAGGGGCAAGAGAAATGGATGTTGTACACCCAAGAATCATTATATTGAATTAAGTCGCCCTTCCCCAATATGATGCTCTCCAGATATGTTGGACAGCAACACTGGCCATGCTGGTTAGGAATAATGGAAGCTGCAGTCCAATATATCCAGAAGGTGCCAGGTTGGGGAAGGGTCAGTTAAATTAACAGTATATAATATTAAATACTCTGGAGAAACAATTGCCATGCATGTCTACCAGCAGTGATACATATAAGGTGAAGAAGGAGTTTCTGATTATGTATGCCTTGCATGTATCTGTACTTGTGCATGCTATTCTGCAAAGGCATTTCCATAGCCATTGTGAGTACCAGCCCAACCAAAGATGCTCCAGTGATGATAGAGCTATATTGTGAAAAGCTATGGCCCTGCAATCAAAGCTACAAATATTTGGAAATATCCTGATGAGCATGTTCTAAGTTTAGTTTTGCTTCCATCTCATCCCAAACCAAGCAACAACATTAGCCCCCCAAAACATGTGAAGGGCCACCCATAGGCTCATTCACTTCCATGGATGCAGCACACCCATGTGGCATGTTTATCAACACCAAAGAAACAGGCAAAGCACCAAAGCGGGTGCCTAGTCTTAAGTGATTATGTCAATATATTTCTAGCCTGCTACTGACCACAGCGTTTTGGATCCCCTCCTTTAAATGTGGTGATGCTGAGCACACTGCAGTCTTTTACATTTGTTAAATATCTGCAGTGGTGACTATTTAGGCTTACAGTAGATCCCTTTGCAAATAACTGAAAATATAGTAGCAACAGGAACAGAGGCAAAACCATCCAGGGCAATGGGCACTATTAAATTGTTAATGTCCTGTGAAGTACATAAAGCTACTGACCTTATAAAATGGAAATGTTGACCTGGCATAAAGAGGCTTTTGAAACTCTGCATTATGGGAATCACATTGCCCTCTGTAGTGCCCACCTCGGCTTGTGTAGGAATGAGTAGGGGCCAACATTTCTGAAAGAGTTCTTGATGTTGCTTCCCATCATGTACATGCACAAAAGCTGTAAGTTTTGCCATATTCAGGTGCCAAGTCTTATAAAAACACCCATTCACAGCTGGTACGACTGGAAGACGCCATTTAGAAGCAACAAGAGTTTTTTCAGCACTTAATCAGCTCCACACTAATTTCAAGTATTCAGCATGAACTTTCTTCTGTAAGAGTCCCAAATGAGAAGGGGGTTTCACTGCAGAGTGTATCCAGTCATCTCCCATGGTGAGTGGCAGAAATTATTTTGAGAAAAGAATCTAAAAAAAATCAAGTGTGGTGTATCGGTTAGAAAGTTGGCCTAGGACTTAGGAGATCTGGGTTCTAGTATTTTGCTATGAAGCTCAGTGGATGAATTTGGGCAATTAATTCTTCTTGGGTTCTTTGCTAGAGGGAAAAAGTGACATAAATATAATAACATCAGAATATTAATCTTCTCACATATCCACTATATATACACCATGTTTTCCCCTTCCTTACCACAGTTCTAACATATATTCCTGAAATTATACACTATTTTGGCTATTATACCAAATGATGAAAAATGTTTAACTGGTGCTTTTTAAAGTAAATACATGATGAACAAGTAGTGTCCTTCTCTGAGCATAACTTTCCAAATATCTTCAGCAGTGTCAGAAACCCAGACGTTTCTAGCCACATCATTTGCATGAAAAACAGCAGCAGTTTGAGCAAAGGAATGATGTGCAGGGTAAGCAGTTGCAGCAACATTATTTGGCACCAAGAGTGTGCTGGGTATTAAGTGCTTAGAGGGTTGACAAACTAGATAAACATTGCAAATGGAGGATGGTAAATAAGGGGAGATGGCAGCAGCATATGAAATAAGGCAGTGGTGGTGAACCTATGGCATGTGTGCCACAGCGGGCATGGAGAGCCCTCTCTGTCGGAACGCGAGCCAAGTGGCCCCAGTCTCACCCCAGCAGCCGAGCATCAGATAACAGCTCACATAGGGGCCATGCGCATGCTTGGAAAGGAGAAGTGGCGCCAGGCGATGAAGTCACGAGCCATGACACATTAGTCACGATTCGGCCGAACTAACAAATGGCCAGTCAGTGCGCTGCCAAGGATATACTGTATATATATGTACCACCCATTTGGATGGCAGTAAGAGGGTGTTGAACAAATTCATGGAGGGGAAAGCTATCA